AGAATTCAGTTTTTGTCTCCTTATAAAACCCAGTTGTCATGGTGCCTATATATATAGGCAGTATACCTAGAAAGTTGACTGGATGCCCAGAAACTAAGGCCTGCAGAGTACAGATAAGGTTTCTAAGTTCATTTTCTGGCCAGTGCACCAAAATTGCCACAGTTAGGCCTCGTTCAGATTATTCTGTGTCAAGGGTGGAAAGGGATCTACAAACCCACGCACTGGGAAGGGGGAGGTGAAGGGAAAAGGTAGGGAGACGGGCCTGGATGAAGGATAACAACAGCAACAAGCTAGGGAAAAATGTGATTTACTAAATACAGTAGCAAAATGTGAGATAACAATGTAATGTGATATGATTGGAATTGAAGCTAATAAATCAAATGAAATGAGGAAGAGTTTTTGAAACCAAAGTCCTTACTCTAATGCTGTAGGTGAGACAGTCAGGGAGCACAGACAGTTTCACTACTCCCAGTCTGAACGGAAAACAGAAATGGAAAAATGAAGTCTTCTGAGAGTTCTAGTTCATTCTCTTCTGAGACAAATATTGACAATTCACAGAACTGCAGCATTAACCTTTTAACTCCCAGTGCACTGAATGATGCTATGACGTAGAAGACTGGAATTAGAAGATCAGAGATCTGGAGAACCTTTCCTATGAAGACAGGCTGAGAGAGCTGGACTTGTTCAGCCTGGAGAAGAGAAGGCTCAGGGGAGACCTGACAGTGACCTTCCAATACTTAAAGGAAGCTTATAAGCAGGAGGAAAATCAACTTTTTACGTGGGTAGGTAGTGATAGGACAAGGGGGAATGGTTTTAAACTAAAAGAGGGGAGATTGAGATTAGATGTCTGGAGGAAATCAGCACTCAGAGGCCAGTGAGGCACTGGAACAAGTTGTTCAGAGAAAGAAATTGTGAATATTCATCCCTGGAAGTGTTCAAGGCCAGGTTAGATGAGGCCCTGGACAACTGAATCTGGTGCCTGATTTAGTGGTTAGCAATCCTGCCAATGGCAGGGGGGTTGGAACTTGATGATATTTGAGGTCCCTTCCAAGCCAAGCCATTCTATGATTTTATGAATTAGATTCACAACACACACCAATATAAGAATTTTGGTTATGCAAGGATATTCCAAAAACTCAGGAGCCATTGTAACACAGTAGGACACAGCTATCCTTAAGGTGAAAGGGAAGATGCCATTCTTTATTTCTCCCACAAAGTGACTCCCAGAGGAGAAGAGGAGGAAAGTGTAATTATTAATTGCCTTCATAAGATAGTTCCCAGAGTAATGGGATGGCAGCAATGCAGGGCCCAAATACCAAGCTCAAAGCCAGTGCTTTTATCATAGTTCACCCAGGCAAAACAAAAAAACAAACAATAACAACAAAAAAAACAACAGCAAAATGATAAACAGTACAGCAAAACGCAAGAGCTGAAATCAGACATTAAGAGGCCTTGGAATTTGATGCACAGCAAGAGAGGGAGCATGTCACAGAGCAGATGAGGGAACAAATAAACCAATATCAAGAACAGGCAAAGTAACACCGTGACCAGCAACAGCAAGTAACAACTTGTCAAGTAATAACTGGACAGATCATCCTCTTGAACCTCTTGAGCCTCATGTCGGGTGCCAAAATAGACCATGGTGGGTTGACCCCAGCCAGCAGCCAACAGTTACCGAGAAGACAAATGCCATAACCACAAATACCTCTCTTCTTCATGTCTCCAAGCTTTTATTGCTGAGCACAACATCATATGTTAAGAAATATCCCTTTGGTCAGTTTTGGTCAGCTGTCCTGATTGTGTGCCTTCCTAACCTCTTGTGCACCCCCAGCCTACTTACTTCTGCCGCACAGCAGAGTGGAAAAAAGGAGAAAAAAGAAGGAAAGCTGGACAGTGTTCAAACATTACTCAGCACTAACCAAAATGCTGGTGTGTTGTCAACGCTGTTTTAGTCAAAATCCAAAACACAGTGCCATAAGACTACTATGAAGAAAATAAACTCCATCCCAGACAGACCCAGTACACATTGCAAAATTCAGCATTTTGATTACATTAAAAGCTAGTTATAGTGAAAGAAAACTGTTAGTGCTATGCACTTTTTATTAAACAATTTTAGTCTAAACTATGAAAACAAGTTATTTTATTTTATTTTTTTTAAGAAAAAGAATAACCTGCACATTTCCGTGAAAGACATTAGTAACAACAGCAGGGTGTCATTCTACCACCACCCACATTTGTATTTTTAGTGTCATTACTAATTCCAGCTTTTTCACAGAGTAGGAAGACTGGAAAGAGTTGGTAACCAATTTAAATATATATAATTGTTTGCTAACTAGTGCTGTCCTCTACCTGTTCATGGAAATAATATATTGATTTTTTTTTCCTTCTTTCCCTGACCCCTCAGATCTAGTAGCTTCTCTCTCAAAGAAAAGCATGTGTGCTAGCCAAAAGCTTTTCTTGACAAATACACAATTCATTCAAGTGTTTAGTTGTTGGCTTTTTTTTTTCCTGTCTATATTCCTCTGTGCATAAGAACCCCAAAGTAGTTAGTCTTAGAAATAATTAGTAAAAGATGAATCAATACAAACATTACTTTATGGTGCATTTTAACTCCCACAAACAGGAATTTTCAAGTAAAAATTTGAACAGAAGTGCTCAAACTTACGGTGGCAGTATCTCTGCAGCCATGAATATTTTCTCCACCAATTCTGAAAGTATACTGAGTAGATGTGCCAAATTAGTGTTCACATCTTCGTTTTTTTCTAATTTTGAGGGATTTAACTAAAGCAAAAAGGAAAAAATATTAAATCTCTTCTCTTGAATAGAGCTCCATATAGGGCTGCTCTGAAAGTAATGCCTCGTATTTTATTATGTTGGCGCACAATGTCAGAGGCATTGTGGTATGGCAGTAAAGGTTGAACCTTCCTGCCAACATTCCATTACACTTTGTTGTGCAACAGATGACAGCAGAGGGAGAGTATAACAAAATGGTGTCTGACATGGAAGTACATATGAAGCAAAGGTCTGTCATTGAATTCCTTCATGCAGGAAAAATTGCATGCATTGACTTTCATCAACACTTGCTCAATGCTTATGGAGACCGAAGGGTGGATGTCAGCACAGTGAGGCAGTGGGTAGTGTGTTTCAGCAGTGGTGACAATGACAGTGGGTCTTGGTCACTGATGATGAAAATGCACAGCTAATAGTGGTGACTATGTTGAAAAATAGTGTTTTGTAGCTGAGAATTTGCTCTGTCAAATAGCATTATTGTGCTCTTTGTATCTGTTGTAGTTTCCATTGAAATAAATAGGAGGCATTATTTTCAGAGCAACCTACATATAATTTGACATTACACACTGATTAACATTTCAAATTAAACTAAATATTCTACTGCTGTACAAATCTCAGACTTCTACAGGGATTGCAATTCTGGTTCAAGGAAACTAATATGAAAAAGCAACATTTTAGAGTTCTAGTGTGCTCTGCTTTTAAATGTACAGACATTTAACATTAACCATAAATACCTATCATAACTACCCACGTTTAACATTTTTTAAGTGACGTATATTTTTATATACTTTAATCCAATTTTCTGAGGACCCTTCATCCTGTCCATAATTAAAAATGTCCCCCACAACATTCTTGTGGAGAAACTGGCTGCCCACAATTTGGATGGGCATACGCTCCGCTCAGTGAAACACTGGCTGGATGGCCGGGCCCAAAGAGTTGTGGTCAATGGAGGTAAATCCAGTTGGCGGCCGGTCATGAGTGATGTCCCCCAGGGTTCAGTACTGGGGTCACTTCTATTTAACATCTTTATTAACGATCTTGATGAGGGGATTGAGTGCACCCTCAGTAAGTTCGCAGATGGCACCAAGTTGGAAGGGAGTGTTGATCTGCCTGAGGGGAGAAAGGCACTATAGAGGGACCTGGATAGACTAGATCAATGGGCCAAGGTAAACTGAATGAGTTTCAATAGGGTCAAGCATCGGGTCCTCCCCTACAGGCCTGGGGAAGAGTGGCTGGAAAGCTATCTGATGGAAAGGGACCTCGGTGTACTGATGGACAGTCGGCTGAATATGAGCCAGCAGTATGCCCAGGTAGCCAAGGCCAATGGCATCCTGGATTGTATCAGGAATGGTGTGGTGAGCAGGAATAGGGAAGTCATCCTGCCCCCGTACTCAGCACTGGTGAGGCCTCACCTCGAGTACTGTGTTCAGTTTTGGGCACCTCAGTACAGAAAGGACATGGAGGTGCTGGAGCAGGTCCAAAGAAGGGCAACAAGGCTGGTGAAGGGCTTGGAGAATATGTCCTATGAGGAGAGACTGAAGGAACTGGAGCTGTTTAGTCTGGGGAAAAGGAGGCTGAGGGGAGACCTTATTGCTCTCTTCCAATATCTGAAAGGTGCTTACAATGAGAGCGGGGCTGGTCTCTTCTCACTGGTGACAAGTGACAGGATGAGGGGAAATGGCCTCAAGTTGCTCTGGGGTAAGTTTAGATTGGACATCAGGAAAAACTTCTTTACAGAAAGGGTGGTTAAGCACTGGAATAGGCTCCCCGCGGAGGTGGTTGAAGTCACCACCCCTGAATGCATTTAAAAACCATTTGGATGTGGTGCTCAGGGACATGATTTAGCAGAGGGTTGTTAGAGTTAGGATAGTATGGTTAGGTTGCGGTTGGACTTGATGATCTTGAAGGTCTTTTCCAACCTGAGCAGTTCTATGATTCTATGATTCTATAATTACGTTGAAGTGAAACAGAAGTTAGGAGTGTATTTTTAGAAAGAAATAGAATCTACAAAAAGGAGTTAATATAGAGGAGTTTTAAAATAAAACCATGATCAGACATTGACTTCTGGAATATCTGGAGCTTACCACAAATTTATGTTAGGCCATTCAGTAACTGTACAAAATAACCTACAATTGCTAAAGAATAAATACGTAACTTAAAGAAATTTGAGTTAAACTTATTTAAAAGTGATATTATGAACACTGTTTAAGCCAACATTTAAAAAAAAAATCTCAATCAGTTCAGTACCTGTATTTCTCATGTAAATGAAATTATTTCTGAAAGATTGATGAATAAATGCTTCCAAAGCAAATAACACATAACTACTAGTAGGTCATTTCAACAAATCAAAATGTTTTAAAAAATACATAGTTCAAGGTATCACCTCACAGGACTGCTTGCTCTCCATTATCTTTAATATACAGTCTTTCAGTGCATGGTGAACAAAATGTGTTGCTGTCGCTTTCATGTATTGCTCCATAAGTGTACTTGCTAAAGTGGTGGCACGAAACAAAGTAGTAGCTTCAGCTGAAAAAGAAAGAAAAAAGGAAATGAAATTGAAAAGTCAGGAAAAGGAGACAAAAATAAAAGCTGAGGAAAAATATGTTGTGTTCAGTTTGATATATCCTACAGTTAAGGGAGGAGACAGAAACAAAGACATGGGAGCCCTTCTCTCAACTCAGAGTTTCAGTAAATGTTGGCGTAATTAGTACAGTACCTTCCATACTTATTTCCTTGTCATTTAGTGATCGTAACAATAGAGACTCGAGCTTTTCATGAAGAAAAATCTTCAATAAAATGCCAGCTAAGAGTGTTCTATCCTGTCCACAAACATGTGATAAAGCATAGACTACATGAAGCTCTTTCTGAAGTATGATCTGAAAGAAAAACAAAATAACGTTCGGAAACTTCTAACATAACATCTTTGTAAAAACTGATATTTTACATCTATAGTGACATATAGATACCACTACAAATACTACTTAATGTATATTAGAGTCATTGAAATCTCTTTAACAACTAAAAAAATAATAATTTACAGAAACTGTGGTAACAAACTTATTACCTCTTTAAACTCACTATACTCTTCTTCCGGCATGATCTTCTCCATAGAATATCGTGCTCGAACACGCAAAGATCCTGGATCAATACCCTTTAATGGTATATAGGAACTGAGTTGAAACCACTCATCTGTTGCATGTCCTTTCTGTAATCGGCTTAATTGGCAACGCATAAACACTTCAGGAAAAAAGCATTAAGTAGGTTATCTCCAGTAAAACAGTGCTAGTATTGAATAAAAATATATATTTTTTCAGCATGTCATCTTGTTTCATCAAAAGTGTATTAAGAAAAATAATTAAAATGTGTGCCATCAAATATATTGACCCCTTGATGATTTAGAACTCCTGTAAACTGATGATGAAATATAAAATGGTGTAAATAGCATATACATATACATTCCTAAATGCAACATATATTAATATAGTTTCCTTTGTAACACCCAAATAGTGGAAAAAGTAAAACACAAAACACTCACACAAAAAGCCATGCAACACAAAACTACCTGGCAAACCTAGGCAGCAATCAGAAAATTAAAACAGGTAGTGTGATTAGAATTTACTGTCCTCTTTAAAGCCTTAGATTCATATTTCCACCAGTCCTGATCTTGAGCTGCTTTGTCACTATTTTAACTTATTTATTATTAGCATTACTACATATTTCACAAATGTTGCCACATGTATTTCTTTAATACTTAGGAAATCCCAGGTTAAGGCTGTAACAGTATATACAAGCTATATAATAAAGCATTCCCAGACAGCTTACTGCCCAAATAATGACAAAAATCAACCCAAGAATGACAAAATCATTAATTCACTTTTTTGTGGTGTTGGTACCTAGTTACCAAGCAGTGACTTGCACCAGCTTATTCAACAGTAATTGAAAGTCTGATCTGACAACTGAGTCATAAGCTGCAGAAGTTACAACAGTGGCCATTCTAAAATAAGCAAATGCTCTCCTGAACTCAGTGGGCATCACACAGGAAGGGCACACACTTGCAGAGACAACATTCTACCTATGAAATATCCACAGTGGTTCAAGAGACGATACACAATTTCAGTATCGCGTTTAGCCTGTCAGACAATCTGGAAATTCCGAGAAAGCACCCTTTTTATGCATCTCTATGCAATCTACTTTATCTCAATACTTCACATAAAAATAAATATAAAATTAAATAATAATAGAAATACCACACCACCAACACCCCTGAGAAAAAAAAAACAAAACAAAACAGAAAACACACCATCACACACAAACTACACCACACTTCTTTTTCACTTTTCCACAAATTAATGGTTTTCCATAGCACTTCCTCATATCCTCCTCCACTTGCATGGATAAGTATCTCAGCTGTTAGAATAAAACATTCTTCAGTTCAAGAGAGAAGATACAGTGGGTACACACCAGGTGCCATTCTGTGGTTTCACAGGAGTGACCATGGAGAGTATATGAGGAAGTGGGATGGAAAAAAACACCCAGATGCTAGAGGAACAGGTACGTGAGTTGCAGTGAAAATCAAAGACAAAAGAGGATTCTTCCAGGAAAATGGCCACTCCAGTTTCCAGTAGAAAGTTCCCCCAGAGTAGATGGTCTGAGACTGATAAGGAGCCTTCTGGGTAGCATTCATGACAAGTGAGTAACGAATACAATAATCAGGACTAGAGGGACCCTACCTCCAGCCAGGTGGAGGAAAGGGACAGTCAGATTTGCTGAGCTGTGTAGACTCAATGGCCTAGCACATCAGAACTATAGGAATATAAAGCTCCAGCAGACACTGGTGCACAGTGTACTCTAATGCCTCCAAGTTATAAAAAGGCAGAACCCATCTATATTTCTACAGTGACAGGGGGATCCCAAGAGTAAACTGTATTGCAGTCTGAAGTGAGCCTAATCAGTAACGAGTGGCAAAAGTACCCCATTGTGACCAGCCCAGAGGCTCTGTGCATCCCTGGCATAGATTATCTCAGTAGAGGGTACTTGAAGAACCCAAAAGGCTACCGGTGGGCTTTGGTATAGCTGTCTTGGAGACAGAGAAAATTAAGCAGCTGTTTACCTAGTCCAGTCTCTCAGAGGACCCTTCTCTTGTGGGGTTGCTAAGGGTAGAAGAACAGTAGGTGCCAATCACTACCACAACAGTGCAATGGAGGTAATATAGAATCATAGAATCACCAAGGTTGGAAAAGACCCACAGGATCACCCAGTCCAACCATCCACCACGCAATACCATATCGCACTGACCAAGACACCTTCATTCCTATTCATAAGCTGATTTGTCAACTGGAGAACAGCAAGAATCGTTCACCCTTCAATAGTTTAATAAGTATAGTGTGAAAGTCCTGTGGAGGATAACAGTGAACTATCATGGTCTGAATGAACTCTCAACACCACTAACCACTGCTGTGTCAAACATGCTAAAACTCCAACATGAACTGGAGTCAAAGGCAGCGAAGTGGTATGCCACAACTGACATAGCCAATGTGTTTTTCTAAATCCCTCTGGCAGCAGAGTGCAGGCCACAGTTTGCTTTTACTAGGAGTGGCATCCAGTACACCTGGACTCAACTGCCCCAGAGGTGAAAACACAGTCCTACCTTTTGCCATGGTTTCATGGTTTTGTGATTTTTGATTGTTATTCCACATAATAACATCATGCAGTGCACTGGGAGATAGAGTTAATGCTGCAGTTCCGTGGATTGTCGATTTTTCCGGTTTCCTGGTCTCAGAAGAGAAGAATGAACTATAATTCCCAGAAGACTTCATTTTTCTGTTTCTGTTTTCTGTTCAGAGGGAAAGATAAAACTGACTGGGAGTCACAAGACTGCCCTCTTTGCTCTCTGTGGTCCCTGACTGTCTCGCCTACAGCATTGGAGCAAGGACTTTGGTTTTAGAAACTCTCTTATTTGATCTATTAGTTTCAATTCCAATCATATTGTATTATATTATCTCACAATCTGCTATTATATTTAGTAAACTAAGTTTTTTCCCTTACCTTGTTGCCACTGCTTTCCTCGTCCAGACCCATCTTCCTACCTTTTCCCTCCCCCCCCCCACCCTCTTCTGGGGCATGGAACCATGGGTCCCTTCTCCGCTATGTCATGGAACTAGACCAAGCCAGGTCAAACTGTGACATCCTTTGGTGCCCTGGGAGAGGGGGAAAGGGGAAAAGGGGAAAAAGGTAGGGAGATGGGCCTAAAAACAAAACAGCAGCAACAAGTTAAGGGAGAAAACTAATTTACTAAATGTGATAGCAGAATGCAAGATATATAATATAGATAATAATATAATAATATTATTATATTATATTATATTATATTATATTATATTATATATATATAATATAATTGGAAATTAGGCTAATAAATGAAATAAAATTGGAGAGAGAGTGTCCAAAACCAAAGGCCTTACTCTAACACTGAAGGCGAGATGGCTAGGGAGTACACACCACAGAGATGAGCAGTAAAATAAGGGGCAATCTCAGGACTTGCAAGCAGTTTTATCTTTCCCTCGAAATGGAAAACGGAAATGAAACAGTGAAAGTCTTCTGGGATATGTAGTTCTTCTCTTCCGAGACCAAGAAACCAGAAAAATCGACACTCCATGGAACTGGAACATTAACTCTTTAACTCCCAGTACACTGATGGAAACCCGTATCGCCAGCATTCAATGTGGTATGATTTGAACACTGAAAGTTATACCCCAGAGGGTGATTTATAAACAGGCTTCCAATCTCTTCCTTGAATGCCTTATATGTTTTTGAAATGTTCAACTAATGATCACGTAGTCAGTCTCCCTGAATGCATTCTACATCATCTTACTCTGTATCAGTATATAGAATACCTGGAGGAAGCCTTCCCCAAAGCCAGAGAATACTGACTGGCAGGGAATGTGGAGGAACTTGTGAGAGACTTGATCTTAGAGAAATGGGCATCCCCAGTGTCATGGAATTTTACTCCTGAACACCTGCAAGATCCTGAGAATCTAAGCCAGTAATTATGACAGGGATGTTGTGGCTCAGGTAGATCTGAGGAGGCACAAATTATTTGGGGTCTGGCTTATGCGTACCGGGCTTTATTCAGTGCTATCCCGGAGAGGGAGAGAGTCTCTGAGCCAAAAGGGAGACTCATCAAACCAAGAGGGAGAATCTCCAAATCAAGTGGGAGAGTCTCCAAGCCTAGAGGGAGAGTCTCCTGATCCAAGAGAGAGAGTTCATACTGAGAGAAAGAATATCGACTTGAGAAAATCTCTGAACTGAGGGAGAGGGTCTCCGAGCTGAGAAAGGAAGTCTCCAAGCCAAAAGGGAAAATCACCAAGTTGAGGGAGAGAAAGTCCAAATTGAATCATAGAATCATAGAATCATAGAATCACCAAGGTTGGAAAAGACCTAAAAGATCACCCAGTCCAACCGTTCACCTATCCCAATAGCTCCTACTAAACCATGTCCCTCAACACAACATCCAGTCTTTCCTTGAACACCCCCAGGCTCGGTGATTCCACCACCTCCCTGGGCAGTCCGTTCCAGTGCCTGACCACCCTTTCTGAAAAGTAATACTTCCTAATGTCCAGCCTGAATCTCCCCTGCTGTAGCTTGAGAGAATCTCCGAGCTGAAAGTGTTTCTTAACTGAACGAGACAGCCTCCTCGTCAAACGAAACTGTTTCCAAACCAAATGAGACAGTCTCCAATCTGAATGAGACAACCTCCAAGTTGAGTTAGAGAAGAAAGAGCATGGATACAGAGCAACCTAATCAATGACAGCAGGCACCAGTATTGATGTCAGTTGCTCCGTGCATCCTACTGTGACAGGCCCAGGGGCACCATGTATACTTAGTATCCATTACCTCAGAAGGGGGTATTTCAAGGATCCTGAGGGGTATCGATGGGCCTTTGGAATAGCTGCTGTAGACACAGACAACATTAAGCAGTTATCTGTTTTGCCTGGCCTGTCAGAAGATCCATCTGTAGTAGGGTTGCTGCGAGTAAAAGAGCAACAGGTACCGATTGCCACAAAAACGGTGCACAGATGGCAGTACTGCAACAACAGGGATTCCTTGCTCCCCATTCATAAGCTGATTTGTCAACTTCTAGTTGAGTCAGGGAGGGATCAGCAAAACTCACCTTTTAACAGCCCCATATGGCCAGTGCGTAAAGCCAGTGGAGAATGGAGGCTGACGGTGGACTACCGTGGCCTGAATGAAGTCACACCCCCACTGAGTGCTGCTGTGCCAGATATGTTAGAACTCCAGTATGAACTGGAGTCAAAAGCGGCCAAATGGTATGCCACCATTGACATTGCTAATGCCTTTTTCTCCATTCCTTTGGCCACAGAATGCAGGCCACAGTTCACTTTCACCTGGAGGGGCATTCAGTATACCTGGAATCGTTTGCCCCAGGGGTGGAAACACAGCCCGACCATTTGCTATGGGTTGATCCAACTTGCACTGGAGCAGAGTGGTGCTCCCAAGCACCTGTAGCATACTGATGGCATTACTGTGTGGGGCAATACAGCAAAGGAATTTTTCAGGAAAGGAGAGAGCATAATCCAAATCCTTCTGCGGCCAAGTAAAAGGATATGCACAGGAAATGCAGTTCCTATGTATCAAGTGGCAAGACAGACATCATCACATACCAATTGATGTGGGCAACAAAATTACTGCTATGACTCCACCCACTACCAAGAAAGAAATACCATCTTTAATGGGCAGAGTGGGTCACAAGACTGCCTTTTGCTCTCTTTGCTCTGTGGCTGTCTCACCTACAGCATTAGAGCAAGGACTTTGGTTTTGGAAACTCTCTCTCATTTGATTTGATGTATTAGCTACAATTCCAATTATATTGTATTATGCTGTATTATCTCACATTATGCTATTATATGTACTAAACTAAGTTTTTCCCTTAGCTCGTTGCCTCTGTTTTCCTCATCTCGACCATCTTGACCATCATCTTCCTACCTTTTCCCTTTCCCCCTACCCTTTTCTGGGGCAACACAACAGAGGAAGTTTTTCAGAAAAGGAAGAAAATAATCCAAATCCTTCTGAAAGCTTGTTTTGCCATAAAACAAAATAAGATCAAGGGACCTCCAGAGGAGATCTAGTCCATAGGAATAAAATGGCAAGATGGACATCATCAGATCCCTATGGATGTGATCAACTAAGTGACTACTATGTCTGAAGAAACTATCAGAAAGGAAACACAAGTTTTGTTAGGTGTTGTCTATTTTTAGAAAATGCATGTTCTGAATTGCATTCTGATTGTATTCTCTCTATCAAGTGACTTTGAAGCAAAGCGGTTTTAAATGGAGAACTGAGCAACAGTTCAGACTTTGAACAAATTAAACAGGAGATAATTCATGAAGTAGCCCTTCGGCAAGTCCAGGCAGAACAAGATGTAAAAAACATGCTGTACACCTCAGGCAAGGAGAATGGCTCAACCCAGAGCCTCTGGCAGACTGTATAATAAACTACCAGAGAATGAGAAAAAAAATATGCTTTGTTCACTCATGGGTCCTATCTTATTTTGAGAAATCATCAGAGGTGGAAGGCTGCAGTCTGCAGTCATACACAGCAAGTTGCAGAATCTACTGAAGGTAAAGGTGAATTGAACCAACTGACAGAAGAGAAAACCATCCACCTGGCTTCAGATACTGCTGAATGAGAGAAGTGGCCAGGTGGTCTACCTCTATACTGACTTCTGGATGGAGGCAAATGTCCTACGATGATGGCTACAGCAATGGAAGCAGAACAACTGGCAGCACAGAGGCAAACCCATCTGGGCCACTGCATAGTGACAAGATATTGCTGCCTGTGTAGAAAACATGGTTGTGAAAGTGTCACATGCATGTTCACATACCCAAGATTGGCTTAGGTAGATTTGGACTGGAAACATAAGGGTGAATTATTTGAAGCTCGGTGAGCCCTCAGGCCATCAAGGAACAAATGTACCATATAGATGGACTCAGGATTGAGGGGTGGACTTCACTGTGGATGCTATTGCACTTCTCTGGGAGAAGCTGGCAGACCATGGCCTGGACAGGTACACCCTTTGCTGCGTAAAGAACTGGCTGGAGGGCCGGGCCCAGAGAGTGATGGTGAATGGAGTTATATCCAGTTGGCAACCGGTCACGAGTGGTGTTCACCAGGGGTTGGTACTGAAGCCTGCCCTCTTCAGTATTTTTATTGATGAACTGGATGAGGACATTGAGAGCACCCTCAGTAAGTTTACAGATGACACCAAGTTGGGAGGAAGTATGGATCTGCCTGAGGGAAGGAAGGTCCTACAGAGGGATCTGGACAGGCTGGATTGCTGGGCTGAAGCCAATGGGATAAGGTTCAACAAGACCAAGTGCCGGGTCCTGCTCTTTGGCCACAACAACCCCAGGTGATGCTACAGGCTTGGGGCAGAGTGGCTGGAAGACTGTGAAGAGGAAACGGACCTGGGGGTATTGGTTGATGCTCAGCTGAACATGAGCCAGCAGTGTGCCCAGGTGGCCAAGAAGGCCAATGGCATCCTGGTTTGTGTCAAAAATAGTGTTGCTAGCAGGAGCAGGGAACTAATTTTCCCTCCGTACTCAGCACTGGTAAGTCTGCACATCGAGTACTGTGTTCAGTCTTGGGCCCCTCACCACAAGAAAGACATCGAGGCCCTGGAGTGTGTTCAGAGAAGGGCAATGAAGCTGGTGAGGGGTCTGGAGCACAAGTCTTATGGGGAGCAGCTGAGGGTGCTGGGATTGTTCAGTCTGAAGAAGAGGAGGCTCAGGGGTGACCTTATCGCTCTCTACACCTATCTGAAGGGAGGTTGTGGTGAGGTGGGTGTCAGCCTCTTCTCTCAGGTAACTAGTGATAGGACTAGAGGGAATGCCCTCAAGTTGCACTAGCGAAGATTCAGTCTGGACTTTGGGAAATACTTATCTGAGATAGTGGTCAGGCACTGGAACAGGCTGCCCAGGGATGTGGAGAAGTCAACATCCCTGGAGGTGTTCAAGAAAAGGGCAAGGTTCAAGAAATGTGGCAATGAGGAACATAGTTTAGTGAGCATGGTGGTGATGGATCAGTGATTGGACTAGATGATTTTAGTGGCCTTTTCCAACCTTAACGATTCTATGAAAAGGACAACAAATTTCACAGAGAAAGGTTTCAAACAGATTAAAGAAATTAACTTAACAAAAGATTTTACAGAGCAGATTAATACTAAGTGCTTCTCTTTCCTTATTTTGCTTTTCTTTTTCTTTTTGTCTATGTGATCCCAGTATAACATAATAGGTATTCTGGATAGAGCTACAGAAGTCATCAGCTGTGCAGTTTGCTACTAAAAAACATACCAGTTCTTATTGTGAAAAAGTGAATGCACTCAGTAACATACATCCAAAACATTCAGCTTTATGATAAGTGCAGAGCATACTTTCTTGTAAACATGTTTGACAAGAGCAATGAAAATTGCACAAAATATCCATTGTTGCAATATAAACGCTTCTTTTACAAAAAAAATACTTACATATATCTGGATCTTTACTTTTCTTTGTTTTGTTACTAAGACTTATCTCAAATCTATTAATATCACACGAAAGATCACTAGGGAAAGAGACAGACAGCCTTGATTATTAATACTATACTTGATCAACATTTAAATTTATTCTAAAGTTATTTCAAACCTGACTTCTTATGATCAGCTAGACATATTAACAAAGATACTTAGGTGCATACATAAAATTCTACCCATGCATGTGTGGTTGAAAGGTGGCTGCTATATAGCCACGCATACAGTATTTTGTTCCCAACATTAAGACTACATAATTGAAGAAGAGACAGGTATTAGTTGTAGGTGATTTCTCCCTACAGGAAACTGAACATCCAATATGCCAAGCAGAACCTCTTCTTAGAGGAGTCCGCTGTCTTCCTGGGGCTCAGATGAGGGACGTCACTGGGAAACTACCTAGCCTGGTACAGCTGTCAGACCACAACCCCTTACTACTTTTTCATAGAGGGAGAGATGAAGCAGCTACGTTTATCAAAGATACAGATGACGGAATCGAGTGCAGCCTCAGCAAGTTTGCGGATGACACCAAGCTGAGCAGTGCAGTCAATACACTGGAGGGAAGGGAAGCCATCCAGAGGGACTAGACAGGCTGGAGAAGTGGGCCCATGTGAACCTAATGAGGTTCAAGAAAGCCAAGTGCAAGGTGTTGCACTTGGGCCAGGGCAATCCCAGGTATTTGTACAAACTCGGAGAAGAACCCCTCGAGAGCAGCCCTGCAGAAAAGGACTTGGGGGTCCTGGTGGACAAGAAGCTGGACATGAGCCAGCAGTGTACGCTTGCAGCCTGGAAGGCCAACTATATCCTGGGCTGCATTAAAAGAGGAGTGTCCAGCAGGGAGAGGGAGGTGATTGTACCCCTCCACTCAGCTTTGTGAGGCCCCATCTGCAGTACTGTGTCCAGGCCTGGGGCCCCCAGTACAATAATGACATGGAGCTCTTGAAACGGGTCCAGAGGAGGACCACTAAGATGATCAGAGGGCTGGAGCACCTCTCCTATGAAGAAAAGTTGAGGGAACTCGGCTTGTTTCGCTTGGAGAAGAGAAGGCTCCGGGGAGACCTCATTGTAGCCTTCCAGTACTTGAAGGGAGCATATAAACAGGAGGGGGAACAGCTGTTTACACAGCTAGATAGTGATAGGATAAGGGGGAATAGTTTTAAACTAAGACAGGGGAGATTTATGTTAGATATTAGGAGGAAGTTTTTCACACAGAGGGCGGTGAGGCACTGAAACAGGTTGCCCAAGGAGGTTGTGGATGCCCCATCCCTGGAGGCATTCAAGGCCAGACTGGATGTGGCTCTGGGCAGCCTGGTCTAGAATCACAGAATCGTAGAATCGTAGAATCATAGAATCATAGAATCATAAAATCATAGAGTCATAGAGTCATAGAATGGCCTGGGTTGAAAGAGACCACAATGATCATCTAGTTTCAAGCCCCCTGATATGTGCAGGGTCACCAACCACTAGCCTGGTTTAGACCAGGCTTGACGATCATTGTGGTCCCTTTCAACCCAGGTCATTCTATGATTCTGTGATACATATGGGTAATGGGCTATGGGTAAAGGGACTTCAGTGCCTTGGGACAACAGCCAAAGGAATTGAATGCACAGATCATCTTTTCTTCTCTGTATTGGGTAAGGATATGGGAACCAATCAAAGGATCTTATCTTTAAATACCTAGCTTCATGGAAGGTGCTGTCGCCAGAACTTGGGTTTTTTGGAAACCAAATGGCCTACATGGTAACAGGTTTGTGGGCACTGGATGGGGTTTGCCTTTCTCAAACAGGGAGAAGGGTCCTTGGGGAAAAGCTGGTGGGACTCATTGGGAGGGCTTTATAATAGGTTTGAAGGGGGACAGGGAACAGCAAGCCTTCCTGTGATGAGGTGTGATATGGCATAGCTAGATTAGAAGAACAGGGTGCTAGCAGGGGCCTTTTGGAGGACCCATTGCCTTGAGGGGCTGGCAACACTGCACGTATGAAATCCTGATGATAAGGCAGTGATTGCTGGGGCAACAGGAGAAGGCAATGGGGAAAATCAAAGGAAACACTTAAATGGAATTAAGGAATTATCCTTTAAAGAAGTGACAAGACCAGCTGCCCCACTGAAGTGCCTCTATACCAATGCAAACAGCTTGGGAAACAAACAGGAAGAGCTGGAAGCTACTGTACTGCTTGAAAACCACGATACAGTTGCGTCACCGAAACCTGGTGAAATGATTCCCACAACTGGATTGTGGCTATTGATGGCTACAAGCTGTTCAGAAGGGACAGGCGAGGAAGGAGAGGAGGAAGTGTTACTATCTACATTAGGAAGGGAATAGAATGTTTAGAGCTGTACTTAAAGAGTAGTCATGAGCTAGTCGAAAGCCTGTGGGTGAAAGTTAGTGACCAAGGCAGCAAAGGGAGTCTTGTGATCGGTGTCTACTAAAGGCCACCTGATCAAGAGGAGTCTGTCGATGAGGCCTACCTGCAACTACAGGAGGCGTTGCAATCACAAGTGCTCGTCCTGCTGGGGGACTTGAACCAACCAGACATCTGCTGGAAAAGTAGCACAGCAAGCTGTAGGTGATCCAGGAGGCTCCTGGAATGCATTGAGAATAACTTCCTGAGCCAAGTAATAGATGGCCCCACTAGGGGGGATTCAATACTGGACCTGCTGCTCACCAATGTAAATGAACTGATTGGTGTCATCAGGATTGGAGGCTGCCTGGGCTGTGGTGACCATGCTATGGTTGAATTCATTCTCTGGAGGGACATGAAACAGGTGAAGAGTAAAATTAAGAAGCTAAACTTTAGGAAAGCTAACTTCCAGCTCTTCAGGGAGTTAGTCAACAAAACACCCTGATAAACTGTCCTCATGGGCAAGGGTGCAGAGCAGAGCTGGCAGATCTTTAAGGCGGCTTTCTTCAGGGCACAAGAGCTCTCCATCCCCAAGTGTAGCAAGTCAGGAAAGGAAGGCAAGAGACTGATGTGGCTGAATGGGGATCTGCTGGTTGAACTGAAGAGCAACAAGAAAATGCACAGGCAGTGGAAACAGGGACAGGTACTGTGGGAAGAGTATAAGGAAGCTGCTATGCTATGTAGGGATGAGGTCAGGAAAGCCAAGGCCCAGCTTGAAGTGAACTTGGCAAGGGATGCCAAGAACAAGAAAGGCTTCTACAGGTACCTCAACCAGAAAAGGAAAGTCCAGGAGGCTGTACCCCCCCAGTGAGTGACACAAGCAGGCTGGTAATAACAGACAAGAAGGCTGAGGTCCTTAACAACATTGTTGTCTCAGTGTTCCCTGATAACTGCTCGTCACACAGCCCTCAGACATTTGGTTTGGTAGGAGAGGATTGGGGAAGCAACGTCCCTCCCACTGTAAGCAAAGATCAAGTTTGTGACCACCTGAGGAACCTGAACATCCGCAAGTCCATGGGTCCCAATGAGATGCATCCCAAAGTCCTGAGAGAATTGGCTGAAGTAGTTGCCAAGCCCATCTCTGTGATATTTGAAAGGACGTGGCAATCAGATGAAGTCCCTGGCAACTGGAAAAAAGGTAACATCACACCCATTTTTAAGATGGGTAAAAAGGATGATTGCGAGAACTACCATCCTATCAGTCTCACCTCTGTGCCAGGGAAGATCAAGGAGCAGATCCTCCTGGAAGCTATGCTAAGGTATGTGGAAGACAGGGAGCTGATACAGGAGAACCAGCATGGCTTCACCAAGGGCAAATCCTGCTTGACCAACCTAGTGGTCTTTTATGATGCTCTCACTACATCAATGGACAAGGGAAGAGCCAGTGATGTCATCTATCTGGCCTTCAGTAAGGCCTTTGACACGGCCCCCCACAACATCCTTCTCTCCAAGTAGGAAAGTTGTAGATTTGATGGGTGGACTGTTCAATGGATGAAAAACTGGCTGCAGGATTGAGTCCAGAGAGTGGTGGTCAATGGCTCCATGTCTGGATGGAGATCGGTGACGAGTGGTGTCCCCCAGGGGTCGGTGCTGGGACCGATAATCTTTAAGATCTTCATTGGTGACATTAACAGTGGGGTTGAGTGCACCCTCAGCAAGTTTGCTGATGACACTAAGCTGTGGGGTGCTGTGACACACCAGAGGGATAGGATGCCATCCAGAGGGACCTAGACAGGCTTGAGCAGTGGGCCCAGGTGAACCTCATGAGGTTCAGCAAATCCAAGTGCTAGGTCTACACCTGGGTTGAGGCAACATCTACTACCAACCCAATCTGGGGGAAGAAAGGATTGAGTGCAGCCCCACCAAAAAGGACTTGGGGGTACTGGTGGATGGCAGCAGCTGGACACAAGCCAGAAGTGTCCCCTCACAGCCCAGAAAGCCAACCGTATCCTGGGCTGCATCCAAAGCAGCGTGGCCAGCAGGGCGAGGGAGGTGATCCTGCCCTTCTACTCTGCACTGGTGAGGCCTCACCTGGAGTGCTGCGTCCAAATGTGGAGTCCTCAGTACAGGACAGAGATGGAGCTGTTGGAGTGTGTCCAGAGGAGAGCCACAAAAATGACCCAAGGGATGGAACACCTCTCCTATGAGGGCAGGCTGAGAGAGTTGGGGCTCTTCAGCCTGGAGAAGAGAAGGCTGCAAGGTGACCTGAGAGCAGCCTTTCAATATCAAAAGAGGAGCTACAGGAAAGGGGACAGACTCTTTAGCAGGGTCTGTGGTGGTAGAACAAGGGGAAATGATTTCAAGCTCAAAGAATGTAGATTTATGTTGGATATAAGGAAAATGTCTTTTAACAGTGAGGGTGGTGAGGCACTGGCGCAGGTTGCCCAGAGATATAGTCGATGCCCTGTCCTTGGAGACTTTCAAGGTGAGGCTGGATCAGGCCCTGGGGAAACCTGATCTAGCTGTGGATGTCCCTGTTCATTGCAGGGGAGTTGGACTAGATGGCCTTTAACGGTCCTTTACAACTCCATGATTCTTCTATGATTTTTAAAAGCATACACAACACAGTAGAGTGTAAAGAACATTTAAAGCTGCATTCCATTTGAGCGAAATTTAGTAATTCAATAAGATAAAGACTTACTCAAAGACAAATTCTTCTGACCATACAGGGTTCTGCCCTTCCCTGGTATGTGTTTTTGCAACCTGGACACTATTCAGGTATATGTTACAGTACGGATTAGTAAAATGTTTTACTGGGAGTGTATGAGCTTCTTCTACATGCAAAATAAGACTGTTGACCTAAAGAAAATACACAAAATTTATTTCTTAAAAAAAAAAAAAAAAGGAAAGACTTATCCCCCCATGTGAATGTTAATGTTAAACATTAAACATGTTAATGTTAAACAATAATTTTGTAATTGAAAGAGCAGAAAACAGGAGTAATGGAACAAGATTTTAAGAGCAACTTAAATAACTTGAAAATAAGTCTCCACCACCATAGTTTTAACTAATTTTTTCCTTTTAAAACCACTACTAAGAGACATTAAGATTTGCAAGTACTAACTTTTCTATGCATAGAAAATTCTGTTCAAGTCTGAGATCTGTATCTGGAATAAGAGCCACAGACAATTCCAAACACCGTGTCATATTTTATGCCTTCCTAACAGATTACATAGAATTCCTTTGTTCGACACTAATATCTTCCTTTTAATGGGAAAAACAATTGGTACTGTAGATTCTCAAAGTAATAGTATTTAGCAACCTAAATTCCAGAAAATGAAAAGTAAACTTCCTAAAATCATCTAGATTAAGTGTTTTAAGCAGCCTACTATTTTACAAACTTCTGAATTGCATGCAATTCATGGCTGAATCCAACATCTACCAGTATAAACTCAAGTCAAATTAGACAAATACAGAAAATACTGCACTTGAACAAGTCAACATTCCATTTAAATTCAAATATTCAGTACCAGAAGTTTCAAAGGACAGTTCAAGAAACCTTGAAGAAAATTATATATAACAATTCAAAATAGTTTCTTTAAAGTCTCTTAGAAGGTAGATTATGTCATTAAAATTATTACTAATCAAATTTAGTACTACTTAGCAAATTTGGACCGATGACCTCCAGAGGTCCATTCCAACTTAACCCATTTTATGATTCTGTGAAAAACTGTAGACTCTTATTTTTCATTATACTTTGGAGAACGTGAAAACAAAACTAATTGATGTAGTATCTGCTTCCCTTTCTGTTCTTAAATTTAAGCTCCCTGATATCGTTTCTGTAAGTCAGACATCTAAGTGTTTGGTGGTTGTTTATTGTGTTTGCTTTTTTTTTTTCTTTTTTTTCTTTTGGGTACGTGTGTGTATTTATTCACTTTATCTACCTTGATCACTCATGCTCCTTTATACTTTCCCCCTAAATAATCCAATACTTCCCACACTATACTTATTTAATTGGAACTTCTTTTACTCATTCTAGTCTGTAACGAAAATCCCTTTATATATTTTGTTATTATCTTGTATCAAGCTAACTCTATCCTAAATGAGAACACCACAAATATTACGTACGTTGCTCCAAAAGTAATGCATTTTCATCAGAAATGAATAAGAGCCTGCATGCCACACTTATAAAAATCTGCACCAGTGAAGGTGACCCACTGTTTCACAGTTGCCATAACAGCATCATTGCTAAAGCACACCAGCCACTGCCTCACTGTGCTAACATCCACTGTTTGGTCTCCATAAACGTTCACCAAGCATTGATGAATGTGAATGGCTACAATTTTTTCTGCATGAAGGAATTCAATTATACTCCTTTGCTTCATACACATTTCCATGTCAGAGGCCATTTTGTCAGACTGTCCCTCTGCTACCACAGAATGTGTGCACAGCCACAAAATGTAATGGAATGTTGGCAGGAAGGTTCAATCTCTTCTGCCATACAACCAACATCCACCTCTGATATTGTGGGCCAACATAATAAAACAGTAGGCATTACTTTCAGAACAGCCCTCGTAAACAGTATCCATTTTCTATTGTATTCCTTCATGCAGCCTAATGCTTAATTTCCTTTTGAAATCCAGAATTCAGAATTTCATATCATTACTGTAGGTGCTTTTCTTTTTTGGCTCCCAATTTTTAGCTGCTGGTTCATATGTCAGTTCACCTACATTAATTTGGTTCTGCAGGAGTAATAATAATTTTGTTTCCTAAAAGAAAAAACCCACAAAGTTTTTTTTCTTTTAATGGACTGCTAAAACAGCTTCCTCCAATGTTCCTAGCATTCAAAGATACCAGGAATTCTTGAAGTATTTTCCCATTATTCTTTAATCATCACAGATTTAGACATTTATGACTACCCATCCTTTATCTATGAAAAATTCTGCCCACAACAGTACTCTCAAAAGACAAAAAGAAGTTAAGTCACAAGCACAGTCAGTTATGCTAGTATTTTCATTAAATGTGACGTAAGTCTATCAAACCCAGTGAATTTTAAGAATTAAGGTAATACAAATGAATAATTTTTGATGCTTTTACTCAAATGTGGTCAGAAATTAATGCTTAGCAAATCCTCTGCTGACTGCCTAAAAAGCATTTTTTTTCCTATATGTACATAGACATTATAACAAAGTGGAAGTCATTCTGGTTGGTTTAAGAAAGGAACTGTGTAAGTCCAAAAAATAAAATGCATGCAAAATTTACTATTGTTGAAAGTTCTGAGATGTATAAGCATCATTCTGCGAAAAGGACACACACACATCACTATCCATATAACTTCACCTGACGTAGACGTTTATTTGATGCCCCTGGACTGTTTTTTCTTAAACTGCAAAACATCTGCAGAGATTTCATCCAGTCCTAAGAGAGAAAGATACAGAAAAGTGTAAAAGTCAGACTCATCATCATCAAGATATTCTTTAGATTGAAAGGAATCAACTTGTATGCAATTCAAAGCATGAAAATCTAAATATTAAAGCAAAAATCATCTTTACTCAGTTAAACAAAAAGCATTTGCCAAACTGATTTTCTTTTAGAAATATCAAGCATTAGTAATACAGCATGACCTTTAATGATTTTCCAAATTAATGACATTGCATTAAATTAAAAACAATATATAAAATGAAGTCAGACTTGGTTTCTGAAAAAAAATGACAAGTCAAACTGTTCTGATCATTCTCTCATCCATTTCTGTATAGCAATCATATTTTACTGCATATAGAATAATAGAATCACGAGGTTGGAAAGGACCTACAAGATCATCTAGTCCAACTGTCCTCCTATCACCATTACAATCCACTAAGGTACTAAACCATTTCTCGTAGCTCCTCATCCAGATGCCTCTTGAACACCACAAGGAATGGTGACTCCACCACCTCCCTGGGCAGGCCATTCCAGTGCCTGATCACTCTTTGAATGAAAAAGTTTTGCCTTATGTCTAATCTAAATCTCCCCTGGTGCAACTTGTGGACATTTCCTCTGGTCCTGTTTGCTGCCTGGGAGAAGAGGCCAAACCCCTCCTCATCACAACCCCCCTTCTGGAAGTTGTAGAGTGCAATGAGGTCTCCCCTGAGCCTCCTCTTCTCAAGACTAAACAATCCCAGCTCCCTCAGCTGTTCCTCATAAGACTTGTGCTCCAGACCCCTCACCAGTTTTGTTGCCCTTCTCTGGACATGTTCCAGGGCCTCGATGTTTTTCTTGTAGTAAAGGAACTGAACACAGCACTCGAGGTGTGGCCTCAGCAGTACTGAGTACAGGCGGATGATTACCTCCCTGCTCCTGCTGACCACACTATTTCTAATGCAGGCCAGTGTTGCAGGCTAGCAACATGACATAGGGTTCTCATGCAAAAGATTCCTCTTTATTTTCCCAAGCAAGCTTTTTATCTTCTAAC